ATGTGAAGCTCTGTGCCATTTGATTTAATTTCCCTCAATTCAAAAGACTCCATAAAAAACTAAAATAGAATTAGTCAAATAACCCCAACCCTAACACTAACTTTTTTAAAAAATATATACAATTACATCCTTGTAAGTTTTCTAGACCTCTTGGAAATGCTGTAGTCACCTTGTATTTGTTTTTCTTTTCTTTTTTTTAATGGATTACAATTTTGAAAAGAGGGATTCAAACCCCAACATTAGGGTTGAGGGAGTGCATCTTACTATTATACATATAGTTATCGAGCCATGAAACTCAAGAGTCGCATGTATTAGACATTATCACTAGGCCTGGGCACAGATTGGTTTTGATTTAACTAAAACCAAAATTTCAACTATCTGTTCTTTTTTCTTTTTCAATTTTACTATCCAAAACCAAACTGAATTCTTTATGAATTTTTTGGTTCAGTAACCAAAATAATCGGTTTTAATATTTTAGTTATCGATTATAACCAAATTAATACTGATGCCTATTTCAAGTTTAATAATGAATATACTTAATCAAAATTTGAAATTTTTAAAGAATATAAATATAACAAAATGCAAAAAAGATAAATAAATGAGAGTAAAATATAATTTTGAGTTTTATTTTTTTACTTTTAAATATATTTTAAATTTAAATACTAAGTTATAATAAAATTTATAAGGTAAAAGAAATTAAATAAGAATGTTTTTATATTTATTATAATATTTATCAATATAAAATTTTAGTTCTTGGTTATATATTCAGTTTCAAATTTTTAACTCTCTAATCATTAATCGACCAAATTTTTTTTTGTTATCTAACTAAAATTGAAAATAAAAACCAACAACCATTTGATTAATTTTTTATCGATTTTCGATTAACCATTTAGTTAACCGGCCGTTTACCCACCCATAATCATTACAATCACACTTAATATCCGTAATGTTTGATTCAAAGCAGGGGACCGCGTTGGGCTAACCCACCCAAGCAAAAATGATGGTGCCATCAATTGGGCTCTGTAAGCTTTCTTCTCTCTAAACTGTAGCAGAAAGCCCGGTAAATAGTAACGGACTCAGTCGACCCTTGGGCCCACTATTGAAGGTCGTTGAGTTCAGCTGGGCCACAGTTCTATAAATATGAATTGGTTCTCTACCAGAAGCCCGATAATTAGCACCCGGGACCAATTTTCAGATTTTTGTTACCATGTTGTTAAAAAATAATGTGTAAATAAAAATGTTAATTTTATTAGTTTTTAAATAAAAATATTAATTTAATATTATCATCTAATTAATTTTTAAATAAAAAATAAAAAATTAATATTTTTAAATAAAAAAATTAAAAATTGAACTCTTTATTTAAAAATTAACAATATTAACATATTTAAATAGAAAAAATGTAAAATTAACATCACTATTTACACATTTTCTCATTGTTCAATTGATTGAGATTTGATACTTTAATTGAAGAATTTTAAATTTAAATATTGTATCAAATAAAAAAGGATTTGGAAAAAAAAATGTCAACTATTATGTGGTTGTTATTGCATGTATTAAGAAAACTGAAAACTTAATAATTAAACTCACAAGTCACGACCTTAAAATTATGGGATATCAATGCTACCATTATGAGGTAGGTGTATATATATAATTGGTTGTTTTTTATTTTAATGAAAAGAGGGGAAAATCTGTGCTTAATAACCTAATGCGAGATGGTAGCAGTTCCCTTTCGGCTCTGCAAGAGTTGAAAATTTTAAGTCGCTTTCCATATGAATGCGTAAATGAGTTGATAAAGAACTCTTTCAACTTAATCAGAGGTTTTAATTTCAAATATTGGGAATACAGTTCCGTTAAAACTCGTGAAAAAAAATTTTACCATTTGTTGGGTCCTGTCTTATTCTAATCTAAATTTAGTC